ATCCTTTATTCATCTCTGAACACAACTATGAATAAAAATTTTGTAAAAAATTCTAATAAAAAATAATTCCATTTATAATCGTTAATTATACACATAGTCTCTTTTAAGATTTTAAATGTATTTTATTTTAAAATAAATTCAACAAAGTCTATATAAATCTAAATAAGACAATAGAATTTCAAAATATTGAAGAATATTTTTTAATTAATCAATTTTCTTATTTTTCTTGTTATCATTTTTGTCATGAATGTTGGGTAGAAATATAAAATTTAACCTTTTTAACACAATACTTTCTTCTAAAATATGTAATTAAAATTCATTTCTACAACCCTTATCCTGCAATTAATAAAGATTTTAAAATCTCTAGACTGTTCACTATTCTATTGAACTGAATTTCTTATTTACTCTCTTCACTTAGAAATAAGGCTGTAGAAATGAATTTTAATTATATAAGGAGAAAAGAGAGAGTCGTTTAAAATTGTTTATAATTTTCAGCTATAGAGGCTGTTAAGTTAAATTTGATATTTTAAATGAAAATATGTCTGTATATCTCTCTAAAAATATTAATAAAATATAAAATTTTAAATATCCAAAGGTATTATTTTATGTGTGTTTTACTAAATAAAACAAAGTTATTATAAGAAACACTCGGTATGATGTAAAATATAGGTTTGAAAGTATTTTTTTCACAATATACATTACAATATACAATATCTCTTTTTATTCTAAAGAATATTTTAAAACATTTTAAATGTATTTAATTGTGATCTATATACAAATTGTATTTAAATGGTATGTTAAGGCTGGAGATAGATTATTCCCAAATTAATTAACACCAATGCTATATCAGGCTTAAATTTCAACTAAAAAGTGGTGTAATTAGCGGTTGTAAGGTTACAAAGCTAGGACATTAGTGTGTGAGAAATAGTAAAAGCTGCTTAATTTATTATGATAATTAAGAGATTTCAGGGCGCAAATGAACATTAATGACAAAGGCTAATCAATGGGTGGGTAGAATCATCAATTAAGGACTTCAATAATTTGTAGAATATCTCTTAATTGCCTCACAATTTTTGTAGTTTTAAGATAATCCCTTGAAAACCTTTGTTATTGATATCTTATCACCTAGGTATAATGATACATCGTTATTGATAATTGCCAAAACACCAAATAATTATAAAAATATTTAATTGTAATTGGTATCATTAGTAAATAAAATTAACAGACGATCTTTGGTTTGAAACTAAGCTATATAGACAAGAGATTTCCGGTCTTAAACCCGATTTGGTATTGAATCTAGAATTTTATCATCATCATTTCATTTATAACCACGAATATTTAATTTGCTCTATTTTTTATAACTTGTTTCAGTATACAAGATTAAGTCTCTCACATACCTATATTGTTTACTTCATCAATTTTTTTTTTCGTTAAGTAAAATTGTGGAAAAACTGCAATAGGTATTTATTAATTTACTAATAGTTTTTTAGTTCTACATTCTTCGTGACAATCGATAAAAAAGGCTAATAAAAATAAATAATTACTTATAAAATAAAATAAAAATGTATTAAAATGAATATTAGTCTATAAATAAAAAATAAAACTATTGAAGACGATTTTAAATTTTACTTTGAATTAATACCAGCAAATCATCTCTTGAAACCACTTATTTGTTTATCAAGAGAAAATACAACTATTTTGATGTTGAATATGACCGGTTTAAAAGATAAAGTAAACCTAGGATTTTGATCTCTTAAAACCGTATTGAACTTTAATAATATAGGTCTTATTTCAGATTAGTTATTATAACAGAATTCAATATTTGGGACGGGAAACCTTTGGTCTTAAATACACAATATAGTATTTAGTCCTATTTTAAACGGATTGAGATAGACCCCTTATTTCAGATTAGTTGCTATACCAGAATCGTATTTGGTATAGGTCTTAAATCGAGATTGGACTGTAATTAGGATTTAATAGAAATTTCAGAACGCTGTTAAAGTGTTCCAATTATCCGCTGGGGTGTTAAAATGTGATAAAAAGAAATCCATTTAATTAGAAGAGATAAATCAAAGGAGATGTCACAAGAAAAGTGTAATAAAGGAATTCTCCAAGTTGACTCGCGAAATATCTGCCCTTAAATTGGAATTCTTTACCGGAGGAAGAAAAAGGAGTTGTTATTGTTAATTCCTTAAAATATCACCCGCTGATAATTAATCTGGTGGTTTTAATAGATTTCAATTTTAGATTGATTGGTCTCTCTAGTGTCTTTATCTCTTCGTGTAAGGAGTCATTTTAATCTATTTATTGTGTTTAAATATTTATATTATTTTATTATACTTATAGACATGGCATCTGCCCGGTAAGCGGAACACTGTGGGTTCGATTCCCAACCCTGGACACTTTTATTTTTCCGTTTGTCATTACTCTTCACAATTCATCCTATCATACTTCATCCTTAAAGTTAGAAATAAGCGCTGTTTCTCTTTGGAAATAAATTTCGATTTTTGTTTAAAAAGAAACATTCGCGGTATAATTGCAATTTTCGTTTTATACTTATATATATTTATTATACTTATTAGGAATCATATATTATTATTTAAATTTTATAAATGTACATATATAGTCTATTCTTATTTATATTTTAAATTTTAGCTCCAAAGTTGTAAATATTTTATATATCGTCGCATTAAGGCATCGCGTGATTAACCAAAGCAGTTTAACAACAAGAAAAGCCCTGACGACGTACAGCCTATTGAAATATTGGCATTTTGTAATAAATAAAATGTTTTGTTTTATTTTATATCCAAAATATGCCTTTTAAGTAATATATATATGTTTATATTTATAAATATACAATATGTTTGTTTGTATGTCCGGTATACAAATTCGCAGTAGTTCACTAATTCAAACCAAAATTTCCATACATAGGCAAAAAAATACGGGGAAGACGATAGGCTATTTTAAAAAATATATAAATCAATTATTAAAACTATATATTCAAATTATTCTACTTAGCTCACGAACAGCGCCCTCTATCAAAGATTAGATTAAATTATGCTGATGAAAACAAATAGATAATGCTAATAACAAACAATTATTAAAAAAATCTTATCTAAATATATATCACTCGGGTAGATATGCACACGGGTCAATTCCGGGGCGAAGCCCGGGTAACCAGTCTAGTATTATATATAGGTGTGTTCAATCAAATAATATTATATTGAAATATTTTTATTATATTTTATGTACAGATTATTGATTTTGATATTTATATCATTTATATATTTGTTAGCCTGGAAACTTCCCTCATTGCTTATCTTGTATCTTATAAATGCTGATGTTGTTCTTGCCTTGAATAAATTGTCGTGTCATTCTGAGGTTTGTCCTTCCTAATTTCATCGTGACAATATAAATATTTAAACAAAAATGAATAGAATGAAATTTGATCATCGATTAAAAATATGAAGACTTCTGCGATATAAAAATTGTTTTCCTTTGAAAGAACCGGCTAAAATTAATTGAATGGAATTTATATTTTTTGAATATATATATCGTGCGAGATATGACTCTTAATTCCTATGCTATTTTGAATACGAAGGAACGTGTGGACACTGGACATGCGTCGGACCAGGAGGCTGTTTTTAGGTGCTCCGCTGCCTGGGGTACAGGCGCTCAATCTATACTTCCTTCCTTCCTGTGGTGAATTTGTATAAGACCGGTGATCTTAGTAAATATTTGTGTGTGTACTATTTTGAAACTCAATTTTTTCATCGTAATATCAGTGTAAATCATTTTATTGTGTTTAAAATATCAATTATTTTGAGCGTAATACTCTTTTGAGAGGTATTACCATTGCTAATTTCTTTGTGTCCTATCTGTTTATGTGTTCTTTATTCTCAAATTGGAATAAAGAAAGTAAGGTAAGAGAGCGATAGTTTATTCCGTAATGGAATGCTCCTTTATTCAACAACACACAACACTGTGTTCTTCTTTAGTAACATGATTATTTCTCCCATCCCTATAAAATCTTCCAAGAAATAAACTTAATCACGCCACTTGATGACTTGGAATTTCCCTTTCCATGTAAATTAAAAAAAAAAAAAAGACTTAGATTTGAAGAATAAACAGGGTAGTTTGCGACTAATACACGCTCCAGAAGCCAGGATTATACCCAACTAAACGATAATAATTATGTAAAATAAAAACAGTAAGTTGTTGGGCGGATCCTGTGTTTCTATTGATGAAAAAGACGCAAGCATTTGAGCACGGTTACTAACTCTAGTGATAAAACACATTAGTGATATATTTAAAGTACATTTGAATCTCTAATGAAGGACCGCCCAAAAGGATGAATACTCCTAGTCTCTCCTGAAATATTGGAGGTTGGATTAGATCAAAACACATGTCGTTTTTATATCTATGAGTGGTCGCGAAAGAAGGTTCGTCAGATGGAATACTCATAGGGGGGGGGGGGGTCTGTGCACTTTATATGAAAATCTTCCAATTTCGTGCAAATTCATTATAAATATACAAAATTCTATGTGGATATGCCGATGAAGTGGATGGACTGGGATGATGTAGGGAGGACGTCAGATCCATTTTTTATGAAAATTAAGAGGAGCAGAGATTGTAGACTCGAGTAATCTGGATGGAGGAAGGAGTGATGGGTATCTTGCACGGAAGCTTGGCTGGGAACGCTCCCTTCTGGCTGGATGTAGGAAATTAATTATCCAATTAACATCCTGTATGATGAATAATAACTTATGTTATAGTGAGGAATTTTAAGTGGGGTGTAGATAGGAGGTGTAGAGGTCTGTTGATTAAATATAGGAAGCCTATATATGTAAATATATAATATACTGTCTACATATATATATATATATTTATATATAATTTAGAATTAATCTACTTATATAATTGCCTTATTCTGTCTGTGTGAAGTTCACTGTGTGAAGTTCACGGATAGATTTTGGTCAGAATGGATAAAATAAAAAAAGTGTCGAGGGATGGGAATCGAACCCACGACCGGGCAGATGCCATGACCACTAGGCTACCATGGACATATTTTTCCGTTCATAAATATAATATAAATATTTATATAATAACTGCTCTAATTTGAAATATTTGGTAGGTTTTATTTATTCATATATTTTATTTTTTAGATATAACTGATCTAATTCGCCGTTTAAAATAACTAATAATAGTTCGCTTAATAACACATATAATATAAATATTTATATAATAACTGCTCTAATTTGAAATATTTGGTAGGTTTATTTATATATTTTCATTTTTATATATAACTGATCTAATTAGCCGTTTAAAATAACTGCTCTTGAAATATTTGGTATGTTTTATTTATTTATATATTTCAAGTTTTTTTTTTTACAGTACCAAGATTTCCATACATAGGTAAAAAAAAGTACGAGGAAAACGGTAGGCTATTTTAAATTATATATAAATTAAATATTTAAAATATATATTTAATTTATTCTACTTAGCTCACGAACAGCGCCCTCTATCAAGGTTATAAATACGTTTAAAATCGATATCTTCTCAAAAGTTTATTAATAATAGTTCGCTTAATAATTAGATTACTTGATCCAAATCGAGATATTTATAGACGCTCGCTCGATTTGAAGATTTACACATGTGTATATCGTAACTAATCTGACTGTAAAGTTTGGAGCGGGACGTTTCACAAGAGTGACATCCACGGCGCCAATTTTATAATTGTAACGAATAGTGTTTGAATAAAACATTTAATCGGGTAAACCCGGGCGTTGCCCGGGTCATTCGTCTAGTATGTATATAAACAATTATTTACAATTACACTGTTGTATATAAATCTCTCTATCTTTTATAGATAAAATAATAATCTATAATATTAAATATAATTATTAGCTGTATATAAACTGAATACAATAGTTAAATCAAAGATACAATTCTTTCATTGGCCTTGTAGAACGAGAGTGGTGTGCGCGCGCGCGCATGTTCTAGTGAAAAACACAAACATCCTCGATAAAGAGAGGCGAGTTGCCCCTCGAAATATTGGAACAATAAAATAATTAGAAATCCAATATATGCATTTAATATATATATATATATGGTATCGCTTTCTAAACATCACTATTTGTGTAGTAGTTCAATCATTGGTTAGATCAGGACAATTATTTTTAAATTTATTTTACAAAAGGAGGATGTCATGGTAGGTTTCATGGTATATGTAGTAATTTTGATGTGCGTTTTGAAACATTCGTGGTGAATTCTGATATAGAATTTATGATGGAACGTTTTTAAAATATCTACCGTTATATAATACATATATTTTAAATGTATCTTCAAAATGGAGACATGCTAGCCCAGGCGCTTTGTTTAAAAATACATTGAGGCAGTCTTACAAAATGAAAAATCAATTGTTTTAAAGACTTAGTTCAAGTCCAACTCCACTAAGCGCTACAAGTAACCAAACGTAACTCGAACACCTTATAACTGCAAAGGCGAATCACATACACATGTATAGATATGATGTTATATATCTTATAAGTAGTTATAAGAGAAATTCAGAGTATTTTTGACGTGTATTCTTCTATTTAAAATAAAGATATGTTCTACTACCCTTACTGCAATGATAAAATAATTAGAGGGCCTAGCTTACCAGTGGTGAACTCTCCAAGCGGGTTCATCAGTTTAATCCACCATATCGCTGTAATATTGCATTGGGTTGTGAGGGTTCACCACTGATGAGCCAGGGCATTCCATTATTCTATCATTACAGTAACGGCAGTAGAAAATAGTTTTATTTAAAAAAACGATATAGGCGTCAAAAATAGTTTGAAATTCCTATAACAGATGGCGCGCGAATGCCTCATATTAGTATAATGTTTATAAAGAACTAGCAGCAGCAGCCAATCAACGCTATATATAGCCGTTTATATGTACAAAGAAAGCACATCTCCCTTTAATACGTGTGTTTTTATATGTATAGTTTATACGCCCACTGATTCGTTGGCACCTCGAATAAGGCATGCGCAGTTTATCTTCGCTCTGTCGTTGTTTCAAGACGAAAGCCCGCTAACTGCAAGATGCCTTTTCTGCTGCTGATTTGACGGGGCAAGAATTAAAAAGCAGATGTTTTCACGAAGTTTGTATTCCGTGCATGCACGAAGGAATGTGTGACCATTGGACATGCGTCGGACCAGGAGGCTGTTGTTGGGTGCTGCGCTGCCTGGAGTATAGGAGCTCCATCTATGCTTCCTTTCTTCTTGTGGTGAATCTGTATAAGACCGGTGATCTAATAAAGCTGTGTTGTTGTTTGTATGCCGTGTTTTAACAAATATTCAATAGAATCTCAAGCCAACTGTAATTACACACTAAAAGTTCAATTTATCTATGTTATAAATATGAACCAGTTTGTTATTTAGGTTTAGATATAATATAATTTATCCGTCACATATACGACGAGCTAAAATTTTAGAATATATAATATAAATATTTTAACTATTTTTGACGCGCATGATTTTTTTTATATAAAACTATTTTCTACTGTCCTTATTGCAATGATAAAATATTGGGAGGGCCTGGCTCATCAATGGTGAAACCTCCAAGTTAGGGAGTAAGGGCAGTAGAAAATGGTCCTTTTTCGAAAAAATGTATACTCGTCAAAAATAGTATGAATTTATTATAGCAGATGGTGTGCTAATGTGTCATATAATATAATATTTATTATAGAGAGGAGTAGGTTACGCCGCAAATTTTCATTATTATCTGAGGAAGGGCTTACCCGAGAGTTACTATATATTTTAATAAAATATGTACCGAGCCACCTACTCTCTTCTGTAATAAATTATATAACTCATGTGACAAGATAAATGCCTAGATCTAAAAAAAGAGGTAATGAATGGCTCACCTTAAGTTGCTTATTAGAAGAATAATTATCAGGATCACGAGAGAAAATGTATAGTTTTAAGAGTATTCACAGTAGAGAAGATTTCCGTCTAAATATTGGATAAACCCATTTTATTTATAAATTATATATTTATATAATATCTCGAAGTAATGATAGGTTATAGGTGATAGGTATAGAATAGGTTATCCTTGAGGATAGTGAGACGCCTCAACAACGTCAGGAAATAAATTCTCAAGATAGGCTTATCTATATATTTTAAACAAACTCCCAACCAGAAAATGATTTTAACACCATGTTTAAATCAAGTTTATAATTATTACTATATATATCAAGCTTATATATAATAACTAAAGAATAGTAATATATAAATATATATGTGGTAGAAACTACATAAAAGCTTTCATTGTATTCCATCGAAGGTCATTGTGGCCATTCTTTCCAAATCGAAGCCGTCAATGGAGTGGCATTGATTGTCGACACTATTAGAAAGTATAATGTACTCTTTTCAGAATCTAATGGCCGATATTCGGCCTGTAACGACCATACCACCACAAAAGCCATGAATTAACTTGGCCATATTTCCTGCAACTCTATTTAAATTTAAAATATTCTATTACCGCTATGTACTCTCCTTTTTTAAAAAATCCCAAAAATCTCGATTGATATTTGAACTTGCCTTTTCCACTACGTGATTAGCATTTAATATTTCCTCTTTTTTTTATCTGGAATTTTTTCCTGAAAAATCATTTCAATAAATTGGTAAATATATTTGCTTTGAGAATATGTGAAATAAATATTTATTCGAAAATTACATAACTCTTAAGATATATTTTTATAATATAAAATTGACAAATAGGGACATTTTAATATGTTTACAAAACTCTCATGAGCTACTCCTCTGATGAGCGATCCCTTCCATGAGCGTCCACCTTTGTCAAAAGCGTCCAGACCTAAGTAACTCAACCTCCAATGAGAGACCACTTCTAGGAGAGACCAGGAGTGTCCATGGTTCATGTAAGCGCTTCTGAAACATTCTGTTGTTATTTATGACAGAGTGTAAATTATATTATGATGCCTTAGCGCACTTTCTGTTAGGAAATTTCGAAACTATTATAGACGCGTATGATTCTTTTGAAAATTAAATATATATATTATATAAATTATATATTTATAAATGTATCAACTGTCCTCAAAGCTTATGTTTATAGTTCATCTAAAATACCCATTCCAAGAGTCTAGCATCAGCATCACTATAAAAGAAAACCCAAAAATACAATATAACAGCGGTATAGTAGATTAAACTGGCGAAATCGCTGGGAGGGTTCACCACCGATGAGCCAGGCCATCCCATTAATTTTTCCATTGCAGTAAGGGCATTAGAAATTGCTTAATTTTAAAAAGAACAATACGCGTATATAATAGTTTCAAAATTTCAGAGTGTAAATTAGTTTAGTATGTATACTCGAAAGAGACATTTAAAAACTCTAAAATTTCTTAGAACTCTAGAGTCCTTTTGAAGCTACGATCTAAATTCAAAATCTGAAGGTCAATAGGCTTGAATGCACAACCAAATAATTTGTTAATTTCTACAAATGACCTTTAATTTTTCACCTCTCTAGATTGAACTATTTAAGAGTTTATCAATCAAAAAGATCGAGTTATATTTTAGGTTCTAAAATGTATACATTAGTGTACATAGTTGTAATATTGTCGTATGTTGAATAGTTTTTATGTGTATTCGTGAAGAATACAAATAAATACGAAATATTTTTTAAAAAGTTTTTTAGGATTTTGGATTTTGACCCTCGTTAGATATTTGTTAATATTCTCAATATTATTTGTTTCTACAAACACACACACACACACACAGACCTTCGATATGAATATCCGTAGGAATGAAATCCGCGAAAGAATTTCAGACTATAGTCCCAAGAACATTTATACTTTTTAAAGGATGATACTTCCTTCCCTCATAGAAGAAGGCGCAAGGTCGTTTATTGGAGGCTGCATGCCAAGTCCTTTTTGATTTCACAAAGTGGTCACTCACCGGAGTAGTCGCTGATAAGATAGCTCCCTAATAAAGGTGTCGCTATATTTTCACAAAAAAAAATTGAGTTGAATCTTTCAAAATTTCTCTTAAGCGCTTTCATAT